TTCTGCCTTCCCACCTGATTTCCTCCTACCAAGCTCCACTTCTCAAAAGTTTCACCATCTCCCACTAGCACCGTGGGCTGGGAACCACACATGGGCCTTTGGAGGACATTGAGGACCCATTTGTTAGGAAATGGAAAGACTTGGAAAAAATTCTATTAAGTGAAGTAAGCCAGGCCCAAAGAAACACAGGTCCCATGGTTTCCCTTATTTGCAATAACTAGTATATGTCTGAGACAAGCAGAAAAGGTCAGATAAGATGATATTAGGTGAAATGAACCCCAAGATAAGCACACAAATGGTATTTTCTTTCTTGCTGTTGTTTCTAACATATTTATAAGGTGACTGTTTTGTTGCTTTGTATGTCCCTCCCCCATGGTATAACCCTGTTTTCACTGTATTTGGTGTTGGTATAATTTGGGGAGGGGAAGGGAAAAAAACAAATTGGTTAAGTAGGGATATTGGTGGGTCCAATGCAACAATGAGATGTAGAAAATGCTATGTTGAAAAACGAACTTTACAACTTTGGCTGGGGGTGGGGATTGTAGTTGTGGAGATGGGAGGGCAGGGATGGTAGGGGAAAAACAAAGGAAGAGGCAACAATGCTTGATAAGAAATGTACTTATTACCTTGCTCATGTAATTGTAACCCCTCTGTATAGTATTTTCACAATAAAAAAACTTATTAAAAAAAAGGCCAATTGGAATAAATGCTGATTCCAGCAAATGTAAAAAAAAAGTAGTAAAAAAATATCAAATACATGTATTGTCAATAGTAAGAATGCCTGTCATTTTCTAATTAGAAAAAACAAACTCAAAAAGTCGAAATGGAGTAAGGGATGGGAAGGGGAAAGAAAGGAGGAGGCTACAATGCTTGATAAGAAATGTACTCATTATCTTGCCCATGTAATTGTAAGCCCTCTGTATGGTATTTTCACAATAAAAAAAAAAAGTTCTGAAGGAAGATCTTCCATCCTAATGAATCCTTCAACATGAAAGTGGGGCATCTAGTTCCAGATGCAACGTAAGTGTACTCTTCCCCACTCGTGCTAATTCTATGGGGGATTGGAAAAAAATATGAAAGACTGGCTAAGGAACACAAGATGCAGTCAGAGTATTTGACAATATTCAACGTGCATTCATAACAAAAAATTATCACTGTACTGGTAATGAAGGGGAGTCTCTTTAACCAAAGGTCTATGAAAAAGCATACAGGTAAAAACACTAAAACTAGGAGCCACCCACCCATATGTCCTCCTATAGATTCTTCTGTACTTTAGAATACTAAGAAATTAAAAGAAATGACATTGATACATGCAATCCTTGAATCTCAATTAAGTTAAATATCACATAATTTGATTTTTCCCCTTTCGCTTTTATTTAAAAAATTTTAATGTATATACAATGTCACTAAAATTATGTATTTATGAAGTACTATGTGATATTTCTTGGTGAAGTCTTTGGTATTTTCTACAGTTAAGATCCTTCTGTAAACAGTGACAACTGGATTTCTTGTTTTCAATCTGGGTGCCCTTTCTTTCTCTTATTTAATTTTTCTTGCTAGGACTTAAGAGTACTATGTTGAAAGTGGTAATTTATATGACATGCTTGAAATGACAAAATTGTAGAGATTCAGAACAAACCAGTGCTTTCCAGTGTTTAAGACTGGGGAGAGATTGTTACCACAAAGCAGCACTGAGATTTTCTGGTGGTCATGGAACAGTTTTGTGGAATGATGATGGGTGTTACTGTAGACATGCAATAAAATTTGTTAGGAACATACATGAGTCAATGTGAAAAATAGTGGTATCCAAATTAGGTCTGTATTTTATAGTAGAATGCCAAATGTCAAGTTTTTGGTTTTAAAAATTGTGCTATGAAATAAAGACAACCCTGAAATACCACCTTATCCCAGTCAGATGGCCCACATGCTAAAGTCAGCCAACGACAACAGCTGGAGGGGATGCCGAGAAAGAGGCACTGCTGGTGGGAATGTACACTTACACAACCACGTTGGAAAGCAGTCTGGAGGGTCCTCAGAAAGCTAAACACTGACCTCCCTTACGACCCAGTCATACCACTTCTAGGCACCTACCCTGAACAACAGGAACCAGTATACAAAGACACATGCACCTCCATGTTTATTGCAGCACTGTTCACAATAGCCAGGATATGGAAACAACCCAGATGCCCCCAAAATCGTGGTTTCTATACACAATGGAATATTATGCAGCCATTAGAAAGGACAAAATAATGGCATTTGCAGAGAAATGGATGGAACTAGAAGAAATCATGTTAAATTAGGTAAAGACACAAATGGCACATGGTCTCCCTGATAAGTGGATGTTAAATCCCAAATGTAAGGTGATAAGACAAAGTAAACAACCCTTTGTAACAAGAGATGTACAAGATGTTAGTCGAAAAATGAACTTTACAACTTTGGCGGGGTGGCGGGGGGAGGCAACAATGCTTGGTAAGAAATGTACTCATTATATTGCTCATGTAATTGTAACCCCTCTGTATGGTATTTCACAACTAAAAAAAAGTAAACAAGACTGGAGAAACAAAGGACCTCCACTCATCTGTCAAATCACTACTAAATAACTCCATGCTGCTAATCACACATATGGTATATATGTGCACACTGGAGGGAAATTAGGAGGACACAGAACAAGAGGGAATCAGGGAAAAATAACAGTGGGCCCCATCAGATGCACTGGACATTGATCAAAACTAACTAAGCAACTCAATGGCAGCGATGGGAGGGAGGGAACGAGTGGGAAAGAGGGAACAGCTGACACCAAGCAAAAGGAAAGGAATGTACACATCACCCAATGTGGAAAAAATAACTGTATTGTCAAAGCTCATAGAACTCATAAACTTTATAGACCATGATAGACAATTTGCCCCATGAAAGTTAGAATGTGTTTGTGACTTTAACTAAGGATTACTATCCCACAATACTGTGAAATTTGTGAAATTATGTAATCACTTAATCACAATAAAGAATTTGCAAAATAAATTGTGCTATGGTTATGTGAAATATTTTCATTGGGGGAAAACTGGATTAAAAGTACAAAGGAATTCTATAATTTTTGAAATTTCTGAGTACACACATATTGTTATGCATTTTTTTCTTGTGCTAGGGACTGAACTAAAATATTTTAAGGGAAGAAATAAAATATAATCCAGCTCTCTCCTACCAATAATACAGTAAAGATGAAATAAAGATATTTTTAGACAAAAGAAGAATAGTGAAGACCACAAAACTTTGAGAAACATGAAAGCTAATAAAAATTACTAAACTAACATTTGTTCGGAGAAGTGCCAGGTTCACACAGTGAAAATGCAGTGATGTTGGGATGCCACTTCTCTCTTAAAACTCATTTTCAGGGAAGATGGCTCAGTGGTAGAGCGCTTGCCTTGCATGCATGAGGCCCTGGGTTCGATTCCTCAGCACCACATAAGCGGAAAAAGCCAGAAGTAGTGCTGTGGCTTAAGTGGTAGAGCACTTGCCTTGAGCTGAAGAGCTGAGGGACAGCGCCCCGGCCCAGAGTTCAGGCCCCATGACTGACAAAAACAAAACAAAACCATTTTCAGACTATTTAAAATACTGTGAATCAAAATCCTATTGTGCTTCTTTTGTGGGTACTGACAAGCTGACTCTTAATTTTATTGGGACAAGGACTCTTGAAGGAAAATGATGGAAAGACCTGCCTTAAAGCTACAATAACAATAAGACAAATAGAATAGAAGAAAACAGACTCTAGAAACAGGACTGTGTTTACATACCTCCCCCACTTTTATTTTTTAGCAGTACTGGAACTTGAACTCAAGGCTTTTACATAAAGTCTTAGAATTCCTAAATTTCTTTACCAAGCAATATTTGTCTTTCATTTTATGAGTAGGAACTATATAAATAAACCCATTTAAAATAGATTTCTGTATATAAATTTAAATACACAATACTTTTTTATACAGAACAATTGTAAAGGAGTCCTGTTGATAGTAAAAGAAATTCTCTTTGGATCAACTTGTGTGTGTGTTGGTTGAAGTTATAAGTACTATGCTTGTTCATATTTAGTGACTGCCAAGAAGTTCAGAGCCAAATCCAGCGCTGTTTGATTAACATCCCAGATACTGATGCATCCATTTTTTTTTGGGGGGGGTGTACAGGGTACAAAGGTGGGAATATTAAATAATCTCATTTCATATTGTAAACTAATTAAAATAATTTGAGGGGAAATGATGGGGTATAGATCATGTAAAATGTTGGCTATTGAGACTGAATTAAATTCTTTTTCATTCTAGATATATTCTTTTCTATCCAATTAGGAGGGATATCTGATGTTGTTAGAAATGCGTCTTCGGTAAAAAGTGAGTCACTATCTATCCCCATGATCCTATAATGTAAAAATATTGTTTTACAATGTAATCCACTGTTAGAGAAACCTTTTTGATTGTAGGGTGAGATGAAAGGAGCCAGTGTAAAAATATAGGATATGTGGGGCTGGGAAGGTGGCTCAGTGGTAGAGCGCTTGCCTTGCATGCTCGAGGCCCTGGGTTTGATTTCTCAGCACCACATAAGCAAAAAGAAAAAAGCCGGAAGTGGCGCTGTGGCTCAAGTGGTAGAGCACTAGCCTTGAGCTGAAGAGCTGAGGGACAGTGCCCAGGCCCAGAGTTCAGGCCCCACGACTGGACCCAAAAAAATATATATATAGGATATGTATGTTAAGGAGAAAGAAAGAAATCAGAAGAGTATACAAACATGTTCTGTGCTGTTCTTTTTTTTAATAACTGGTATGAGCTGCTTTTGCTTTATCAGCAGGATATATATCCATTCTCAATTAACACAACCCTACAATCTTAGCCCTTAGGAAACATAAAATGTCCTTATTTCCAAAGGGCATATTCTAATGTGGCATTAAAAGAAAACAAACAAACAAACATCCCCACTCACCCTCCCCTCCAAAAAGAACAGAAGCAACCAACATCTCCTCTCACCTGTGCTGCTGTGTCCTTGTGCATTGACCCTGACAGCTGATGTTCTTCCTCCATTTTTCTTGGAGTTGCAAAGGACTTAGCACTTCTTTCACTGCGGACTTTTTCTATTAACTTGTTTTGCATCTGAATCGCTTGTTTTGCTGCAGCCCTTTTGGAATCAATCTGTTGGTATAGATCATAGCATGAAGGGAACCTTCAGACGTTTCTTTAAAAAGTGGAGTCATATCAAGAATTTTGAAATTCTAAACTTGCCAACCTTTCATAAAGAAATAAAGAAGAACACAATGGACATAAACGTACCATAGCTGGCAAGATCTAGACCTTCTGTCATCAGTAGGACAAGACCAATTAAAGTTAGTGTTACTGTTATATGCTATTTAGAAATTGTATTTACAGATAACTTGCTTACTGAAAGCATCATTCTTAGAGAAATTGTCATATTTTAAAATGGTATGTGCTTTCATTATTAACCTTTGCTGGGAGTGAATCCAGTTTATCGTTGTAGTTTCAATTCTTATTAATTAAAACCTTAGTTTTCTATCACTGAAGTGTGTCTGATTAATATGAAAGTGTACAGGAGCTTATGATATTGCTAATTTTTGTGCAGGTAGTTTAACCTTGAAGTAAGATAAGTAACAGTTCGTGTCATCAAGCACCTTGTACCAGTATGAGAGGTTAACTGTGACAAGCTTGCTGCCTCTTAGGCTTCTTTTTCAGACTGTGGTGATATCTAGGGAATGACTGACTCTCAATAACCTTGAAGTAGACACAGGAATCAAAGGGCAGATCCTACGAGCCAACTGGGAGATTGAAAGTCACAGTGAAGGTTCTTATGTGAAGTATTTGTTCACCAGCTTCATGTTTACAGCCGCTGAGAGTGCCCACACCTTTTTTTTTTTTTCATGGGTTAAATGGGGAGCAGAAGACAGGAACAGCAGAAGGGGAAATAATGGAGTAGCCGGTGCCAAAACAGAGAATGAATTACACTGGCTGAGCAACAGAGACTTAATTTGTAGTCTCTCAATGTTTAGCTTCCATTGCCAAGTGTGTTCATTCCTTCCCTTTAAAATACACTGGTGTTTGATGGCTAGTTCCAAGTTGTCACAACACCCTTCTTTATCTTTACCTCCTCCAGGATCTCAGCTTATCAAAGACCAGCAAAACCACCCCCTTTCAGTAACCTGCAAATTGGAAATGCTGCCTAATCACTCAAGGTTCCTTTGTTTTTACTACTCAACCCTCTCAGACAACTGGGAAAGCTGATGGGTCACCAGAGCCAGAGCCACTCTTCCTCTGAAGTTACCTTATAAATGCACTTCAAACAACTTGTGTGAAGCCCAAGTCCCCTGGCACACACCCTCTCCTCTGAAATGCTGGCCTAGTGAGCTTTGTGAAAATATGCTCTTAAACATTAAAGACTAATTAGCTGATTTTTTCTACATCTTTACTGACATACAATAGGCAAAAACAATATGTTATACAATGCAATATATGTATACATATATACACACATATATTTATGTATGTATACACTGTGTAATACCACAATCAAGTTAATTGGCACAATCATCCGATCTATTTCCTTAGGAGATTTTAAGTACATGATTCATTTTAAGTACAAGATAACTGTAGTCACCATGCAGTATGCTAGATATCCATACCTGATTAATCTTACAACTAAAGGTCTATACCCTTTGACCAGCATCTCCCCGTTTTCCCTAGCCCAATTCCCTAGAAACTACCATTCTGCTTTCTGTAAGATTTTTTTGTTTCAGGGTTTACATGTAAGTGATACCATACAGTTTTTGTTTTTTCCTTCTGTGACTATTTTATTTCTTTTAATGTGAAATAATCCTGTCCTCTAGGTTCATTTGTGTTGTCAAAAATGGCAGACTTCCCTTAATTTTTATCACACACACTCACACACACACACACACACACACACACACACACACACACACAACTTCCTTGATCTTCATTCAATGGGCACTAGGTTCTTCTCATATCTTAGTTACCATAAATAATCTGAACTAAACACAGAGAGGCCCAGGACTTTTAGAGATACCAGTATTTCATTTCCTTTTGAAGAAGTATGGCTGGTTCTATTTTCAGTTGAGATATTATTATTGAGGTTTTTAGTAGCTACTATAGGTTAAGCAGTAAGGTACTGGTTTTTGCCCTGAGAGTTTCAATTCTCTGTGAGGCTTCCTGGAGCTGATGTCAGCAGTCCTGCCATGCTCACCAATAGCTGATAAACACAGTCATACACAGAGATGATTCTGCTTTGAATAAAGCCTTTAAAATGGTTAAGAACAAGAGTGGGGGGGGGAGAAAAAAGTAAGGTGGACTAGAAATTCTTAAACTTTCTTTTCCTCAAAGACATGAAAATAAATACAAGAAACTTATCAAGTATTCCATATAATCAAACAGGACACTATTAAAGAATGTGTCATTTTCTAGCAAAGCAACTCTATTTAAAGGAAGTACTTTTTAATGTTCCATTCAAATTTCACACTGTTCTACAAAACCAAGAATACTTCAGACACCTAAAATCAATAAAGCAATAATACGCTTCTAAATGGTAATTTTTATTTTACTTTCCTCTCATTTGCAGGCAGTAAGTCAGAAGAAAAGTTCATACAATCATTTTGAGAAGGCTTGGGAAAGAATTTTCTACACTGTTGTATACAAAGTTGTATACAAAGATTAGGTTTGCTATGGGGAAACTCAGGCTTCAGATAAAAAATTTCCTGTCTGAAATGTAGGAGGACATTCTGGCTCTGACCTATAGCTAGGCCTCTACCCAGTTAAAGTATCCTGAGATGAATGGAACATTATGCCCAAGTGTCCACACTTCCACTGAGGAAAAAGGCATCATCAAGAATGCATAAACTGATTCAAGGACTTACTGGCTCTTGAAATAGTACTCAGGCCTAGATTTGCCTTCACAAACATTGTTTTCCAACAGATGAGATTTTAACCTAAGAATTTTACAACTATATCAGTAAGTAAGTATCATCATTTTTTTCATTGAGTTTTGAGTATGAAATCCCAATGGACTCTGGAGGCCTAGCAGTGGTAGCGGGCGAGCTAAACTGCCACAGGCCCTGGGTACAATCCCCAGCACTGGGGGTGGGGTGGGGGGAAATCTCACAACCCTCAGTCCCTCAGTTGGTGGCATAAATGAGTTCAGCAGCCCTGATCACAAGTCTTCTCTTTGGACTGACAACGTGACTACAGGAGCTGCCAGAGCTACCACTGAGTGATGTCAGCTTACATGCCATCATTTTGATTGAGGCAAGCACCCCCAGATCTGCTTTTCAGGAAAACTATCACAGTCTGTACTATTGTGACAAAAATTCACTTCCAATTTCTCTCCAATAACAGTATTAGAAGACTTTAAAAAGAAAGCTCAATTGGCATGGGACAGTTTGTGATGCCTAGTAAAATTTCTTATTAGAAAAATACATTTGTTTTGCAAAAAGATGCTATAAGTTTGCTGAGGTTTTCGTGGTGGTATGCACTTTCTAATCCCATACCAAATCAAATTTTTGTTAGTAGTACTCAATTTCCCTCCATAAGTTTCACTTATACTGAATTAAATAACATTTTAAAATAATCTGCCAGCATTGGTGCCTCCTGCCTGTAATCCTACTTACTCAGGAGGCGGAGACCTGAGGATTCCAGTTTGAAGCCAGTCCTGGTGGGAACGTTATTAAGACTTATCTCTAGTTAACCATGGAAAACTCATGGCCAGTGCCCAGGCTCACACTTCAAGCCCCAGGGCCAGAAAATAAAATAAAGTAAACATCCATGGCCTTTTTCCTTTGAACAATAAAGCATAGAAACATTTTAACTATATACTTTTTCTGTTTCAATGACTGCTTTAAGTATCTGTGTCAAAAAAAGTTCAAGTGCAGAATTTGTTAGTCTTTTATGGGACTACAGTGATATACATATAGAAAAAAAACCCTTTTATTAATAAGAAGAATCTTATTAAAATGCAAGAAAGAGGAGGCCATGTGGTTGACAGCAATTCTGAACTCTGAAGCTTTTGGTGTTTCCCAGAAACTATTCTGGAATCATTTCTCTGCTTGACTCACTCAGTGTATCTGAGTACAGGATCCTTTCTGTTGTCACAGGTCACTTCTGACCATTTTCAGGTTTGATTTGTTTTGGCATTGAAAAATCTGTAAACTTAAAAAAATTAAGCTATGGGGGGGGCAGGGAGGATTGGGTGGGGGTGTGGGGGAGGATGGGAAAGGATGGGAAGGGGAAACAAAGGAGAAGGCTACAATGCTTGATAAGAAATATACTTATTATCTTGCCCATGTAATTGTAACCCCTCTGTACAGTATTTTCACAATAAAAAATAGTAAAAAATAAAAAATTAAGCTATGTATAGTTTAGCCACATATGATGGGGTTATAGTTTATATGATCATTTTTAAATATATGTATATACCTAATATACTAGCAAAAAAGTCATTGATGACTAAATATTCTGCTGTTAAATATACTTTAATTAGGATGATCACATTGCTAACAGAAATCATGGTCTAAAGAATGAATATTATTCTTGTTTTTACTCAGAAAGTATTCTAATCAAAAGAAATAAAATATTTTTTAATGGAGACTCATTGGAAACATGTTTTATGTTCTATTATCTGCATGTAAAATGGTTTAACAACAAACACCCTTTGAATTTGATGAAACTGAAAATTCTGGTGGATAATAATTAGAATTTTATACCAGAGGATATAGTTATCGGATTTTAGAATGGTTTCTTTTATATTTCAATTAAGTTTATGAAACTGAAAAACTACAAAAAAGTAGAAAACTCTTCTTAAATGAGTGTAGATTAAGTTGTGACCATGACTGCAAGGGGAATGCTATGTCAAGGAAATGGCTCTTTGTTTTGCTGGAAAAGGGATAAAAATACAAAAGTCAATAAAACTGTTAAAATAAGGCTCAGTAATTACCAAGATCAAAATCCAGTGGCTTTTTATTAAACATGAACTTTTGTTCTGCTTCCTGCAATACGTAAATAGTGCTGACAATTGGTTTGTGAGGCACTTGCTACAATAAAATGTAATTGTATCATGAGAGAAAGGTGACAATCAGGAGATCATGAAAAAATTACATATTCTCACTGGTGGTTAATTAGCCATGCAAAACCTCCTCAAACAGATATTCTCTTCTATTAGGAATGATTACTATGCAGGCCTACAGATGTCAATACCACAGTCATTCAAATACTTCTTTTCCTACTAATTGAAGGTTGTAAAGCTCTGGTGCCAAGGTTTTGCTTCCAAAGAGCTAATTTATGACTAGAAGGATATTTTATGTCTTCAGTTGCAGCAGCTACAAAATTCAGCAAATCAGAACCATCTGTGCACTGATACTTGACTCACCATTCATCTAGCAGCCTATCAGTCATATTAGTTTGCATCCTGCATTCTTGGCTCATGAACACTTGTGATGATCCAAAGTTCATAAGAAAGATTAAAAGTGAATGGCATTTTGACCCTACCTTATTGTGCATGAATGAAGGAAAACAATTCTCTCCCCATTTTTTTGCACATGGACAGCATCAAGGAAAAAGTGGATGCTTAATCGCCTATCCAGTAATGTATCTAACAGTAGTCTCAAACTGACACCATCCTCTTCCTAAATACATTTGGAATTCTAATTCTTTAAGTTTTATATATTTTTTAAGCTGCTATAAGGGAGATGGTTGTAAGATATCAGAATAAAGAAGTGTGGCGGATTTTTAAAAAATAAATTGTTTCTATATATTGAGCCATCAGTATATACATATAATACCTAATAATATTATCCAACCCTATATTATGATCAAATTGGTAGGCAAGGCAGAGTCAGTTAACTAAAGAAAATCCAAAGAAAAAAAGAGACATAAAAGTTCTCATGAATCAGGTGAAAAGTAGCCTTTAACTTAACCCTAGACAGGGGACATCAGTGACTGCTTTATTTCTTTAGTAATACTCAACAGGCCATAGATCCTACTGAGACAACAGGTAAAATAAATTTCCAACCAACATCTTAGTGCTGAATTAAAAGGAAATAGGAATTAAATATAACAAATAGGAAACTGACATGAAAGCTAGATTTTGAGGTCTAAAACCCATCATGGGACAGAAAACTTTCATACAAGGCTATCACAGGATCCCAGGGATTATATTACTTACTTTTTGATTGGTTGCATTAATACTCAGTCCTTTAGTGGAAAAGTCCAGTGGTCCTAAAGGTATTCCATTGGGGTTGAGAAGTTTCTTGAGTTTTTGATAGTTTGGCTTTTCATTATAAGCTAAACTATGAACACACATCAAAAATTGGGCTATTTCACCTGTAAAGTATTAAATTTTTGTCATTCATAATTAGCAATAATTATCCAAACTCTTAACAAGCTTACCTCATATCTTATACATACATACATCCTGACTAAACTAAAAATTAACAACTCAATAATCACTTTAAAATTACTATTCAAAAATGACTGAAATGCAGTGACTTGGAAATCTGATATGATGGGACAAATTAGTAATTTTTTACATGCATTTGTTGATATGTTTGATTTTGAGAGGAAATAATTTTTAATAATTATAGTGATTTTGATTTTTGAGATGTAACTATTAAGGACTATACAAGATATACTAGATCAGCTATGTCAGATATTTTTTGACACTATAGGGTTTTGAACTCAAGCAAGTACTCTACCATCTGAAACACACCCCAGCCCTTCAGATTTTTTTATATTGAATTTTCAAATATTCCATTAAAGTGTTACTTATTATAAACCTTCTGACTTTGAAGGCAAAGAAAAAACAATCTTGGCAAATTTGAACTAATGCTTTCACTTTGAGATGATAGCAGTGCAATTAGAAATGATACGTACATATGACCATATAAGATGATATTAAATGAAATGAACCCCAAGATAGGGACACACATTTTTTTTCTTTCTTGCTATTTATAATGTACTATGTGATTTTTTTTTGTTTCTTTGTATGTTCCTCCCCCATGGTATAACCCCTGTTTTCACTGTATTTGATTCCAGTGCTCTGCATCTTATATATATGCTTCTGTAATTTGGGGAGGGGAAGGGAAAAAACAAAATGCTTAAATAGGGATATATGTTGACCCATTGTAACGATGAGATGTACAAGACACTATGTTGAAAATGAACTTTACAACTTTGGTGGGGGTCTAGAGGGGTAGTAGTTGTGGAAGTGGGAGGGAAGGGATGGAAGTGGGAAAAAAAAGGAGGAGGCCACAAGGCTCGATAGGAAATGTACTCATTACCTTGTTCATGTAACTGTAACCTCTCTGTACAGTATTTTAACAATAAAATGTACAATATATATATATATATATAAAATAAACTGATTCCATGTTTTAGCTACAATTGATTTAATTGTGAGCCAGTGGCTCACACCTGTAATCCTAGCTACTCAAGAAGCTGAGATCTGAAGATTGTGATTCAAAACCAGCCTAGGCAGGAAAATTCGTGAGACTCTTATCTCCAATAAACCACCAGAAAACCGGAAGTGGTGCTGTGGCTCAAGTGGCAGAACACTCTCCTTGAGCTGAATAGCTCAAGGGACAGTGCCCAGGCCCAGAGTTCAAGCCCCATTACGGACACACACACACACACACACACACACACACACACACACACACACACACACACACACACACACACACACACACACACACACACACACACACACACACACACACACACACACGTGAATTCTGTAATCCTCCCTCCACTCCTGTATGCCTGGCCAGCAAAAGGAATTCACAGCATTGGTGCTTTTGTTCAGTAGGATGAGGGGCACACACCCTGTATTTTTCCTCTAGTGAGATAACAGTGACAAATCTTCCTCTAAAAAGGTCATAGACCTTTATTTTTAGGGTGTTTTCTGATGCTGGGGATTGAACCCAGTTACTAGCCATATGCTGTACCACTGAACTACACTTCCTAACCTACCAGCTTTTAAGTAAAACCAAAATTAGACCTAAAGTTAGAAATATAGCTACATGAAAATGCTTATGGGTTGCATTTTTACATTTTGCATTTAGGTGGTGGTTAATCTGAACTTGAAATAGGAGTAATATTATAATACCACTTATAAGTTAGTAGTTTAGGTATACTTTTCATTTTTAAATTCTTATCACTGACTCAAATGTGACTACTTCATACTTTTTTGCATAGGTGCTTATATTCCATGATGGTGGAAGCTTCATGTGCTGGCAGGAGGAATTCTTCCCTTCCTTTCCTACCTCCATTCAAGTGGAGAATTGCAGAGGCCTTGGGTTTCACTTCCTACAGGGAAAATTTCCTAACGGAGTAGTCAAGATCCCCTTCTCCCTGTTAAAGTCAGAGGGACCATTTTAGACCCAACTGTCTAGACTTTTGTGTTGTTTTGTCTTTAAAAACATAAAGGTAATGTACTTAAAAGAGCACTCTTGGGTCTGGGCTTTTATTTTTTTCTGGACAATGGAGTAATTATGCAATCTTTTCTTCAAATTTATGATATATATCAAACTCTGTTATCTAGCATTCAGTCAACCAGATCTCTACTAACTAGCCAACTCTGCTGCTTTATCGCCACATTTATAACTGGTGTTTCCTGGAACCTCTCAGGGGACATCCAACTGCTGAAGAAAGATGATATTCACTACCAATAACACTGCTGTTATTTGCTCTTCTGAAAACTGGTAAGCCAGGATTGGTACCTATTTCAATTCTACTAACTAGAATATCCCAAACAGAGAGCTGAGATGGATTTGTTGGGAACAAATCACTGCTCTAAGACAAGAGAAAATTCCTGGCACTCCCCCAACTGATAGCAGCTGTGCTGCAAAGCCTTCATGGGACTGGGGTTTGGAAAAATGAGGTACCAGTGAAGTAGTAGAGGGAGAAAATGAGAAGACTCATGTCCAAATTAAATTTATTATTATGAACTTGAAGCTTAAAATTACTGGGATGTAGTACTAGGATGTAGTATTGTGATGTTAGCCTTGCAAGATCTAGATTTATTATATCAAGTACACTTTAAATTTTACTAGCGTATTTCCAGCAATATAAAACAAAAATGCCTCAAGTAGTACGTATTGTGATATTCTCGAATTCTCTGCTTTTTTAAGCTTATGCAGTATTAAGTACCATTACTGACTATTATTTCAAGAGATAAAAACCTTTGAAAGTATTACATTGGATTGGGCATGTATACTTGCAAAATTCTTGGCTGTTTCATTTCATAAAATGTCTTAGGAGCCTTTTATAAATCAGTTCCTTTAATTTTCAAGATGGTCCTGCTTCTACAAACAAACCTCCTAACTTAGAACTTCCCTTGATTTTAAAGTTTCAACATTTTGTGCTTTTGAAGTAGTAGAAATCTGTATTATATAAGCAATATTATAGTATAGATTCATATAAATAGTTTGTACTAAGTAGAATGAGGCATGGCTCCTATTTATATTTCTCATATGACTCAAATCTTATCTTAGTATCAGAGGGAAACATTTGTCTGACACAATACAGGGCATCTGGCTTTCTTTTCTAATGCTAAACTGAACAGTTAGCTTTTGTGCAGGAGGGACAAGAAAGCTAAAGTAAATATAAAATTTGAAAAGAAAACTAAACTTCATCTCTTTCCTTCTTTCCCACTGGGTTAACCATACTATTACTGGGAAAAATATCACTTAGAATTTTAACCACAAGGTACATTGTCATAGTGACCAAGTTATTTAATTCAGTTACTAAAACAAAACTTGCACTTCTCAGTCACTTTCCTCTCCTGCTTGGTCCCTCCACTGAAACAGAAGAGCCCCAGAAAGTGGAATGCAGAAATCTTGTGGGGTCAAAGCCTGGGGCTTAGGAAATGCAGGTGGGACATAAGGAACAATTCTGGTTTCTAGTCAATGAAGAATATGAATATAAGTTTAAGATGATTTAGCTCTACTTTTTGACTCACTTATGCTATTTGATCTCAACTGGAGAGCCTGTGTACATATTTGTTTAAGAAGTCAGTTAATCTGGGCACTGATAGCTCACACCTGTGATTCTAGCTACTAAGGAGTCTGAGATCTAAGGATCACAGTCAAAACCAGCCTGGTCCATGAGACTCTTATCTCCAATTAACTATCAGAAAACCAGAAATGGAATAGTGGCTCACAGTGAAAGAATGCTAGCCTTGAGGGGGGGAAAAAAAGATCAGGGACAGCACCCAGGCCCTGACTTCAAGCTCCATGACTGACAATAAAAATAAGTAAGTAAATAAATAAATAGTCTGCTAAAACTAGATACCAGTAGCTCACACCTGTAATCGTAGCTGGTTAGAAAGCTAGATTGGCGGATCACAGTTCAAAGCCAGCCCAGGTAACAAACTTCACAGATTCTTACCTCCAATTAACCTCTAAGAAGCCAGAAGTGAATCTGTGCCTCAAATGATAAAGGACAGTGCCCAGGACCTAAGTTCAAGGCCCCAGTATAGGCACACACACACACACAAAAGGTATCAATGTCAGCTAAAAGCTAACATTGAGACTGTCATGTAAACAGATAATAAGCTTTTGAGAATAAGATCTTATGCTAGAGCTTGCTGGCTCTCTCTGTAAGACAAACTAATTCAATTGTTAAATTAGAATTCATGCCTGCATAAACAAATGACAGGAACTTAATTTCAAGCAGACTTATTACTTTCTACAAATAATATTGTCAGTTAAAGAATTCGAAAAAGTTTTATATGAACTTAAGAGAGTTATGACTTATAACTCTAAATCCCAGATCAGATGACTTTGTTAATAAAAAAAATGCCAGTACAGTATAACCAGTCTAAACAACATATGTGTTTAATGACTTGGTTTTAATTTAGATTACTGACTGAAAGTAGTCCTTCCCTAGGTCCACTTTATCATTTTTCAGCAATAAAGAGAGGAGGAGCAAAACTAGAAAGTTTTAGTTCTCAGACTATCAAGTGCAGTTAACTATTAAATCTATGTATGGTTTTCAAATGATTATCATTTCTTATGGAGCTCTTAAGCATTTTTTGTTTTGTTTCCTGTGCTGGAGAGCAAACACAAGGCCCTGTGCATATTACATAAGCATTCTGTCTCCCGGGTACATCCCCAGCCCTGTGTTCTTGTGTTCCAGTGCCAAAGATGATCAAAACATTTGCTTCTCTGGAAAATTGTCCATAATCCTGAAATCACTCCTTCTACTCTGTAGGAATAGAAATGGGTGGATGGAGCAAAAGTTACAAGAGTGACAAATGTGGTAACCTGTAAAGCATCAAAGTAGAGATTATTATTTGACTTACACAAACTGCTTCCAGAAGGAGCCCATTTAAGCACTGACTCTGGAAGCTCATCTAAAAGACTAAAACAAAAAAGAGAGTAACATACAATTAATTTATTTTCAATCCCATGATTCACCATTTTTAATTAGAAAACAAAACTAATTGTATGTTGGTAGGTCACTAAAATTGTTACCTCATTTGTTCTTTTTAAATTGAGTATCAAATGAATTTATAGGAGTTGAACAAATGCAACAGATTAGTCTATATATTACACACAGATGTAAAAGATGTTTCATTTATCAAAGAAGTTTCCCCTATTTCCTCATTTTCCATCTTCTTGAGCAATAAGCAGCAGTTACTGCTCTTATGGATGACCTATTACACTATATTTTATTATTTCCACATCATTATCGACTTACTATGTCACAATAAAATTTACCTGAATTAGAACCTTTTGAGTTACAGCAAATAGCATATATATACTAGAAGCCCAAGGATTTTAAGAAGTGTCTACTGGCACAAACTTCCTATTCATTCTTATTATTAAAACAGCATTAAGGGAAATTGAAAACTACTTTAATGGGGGCTGGGAAGGTGGCTCCGTGGTAGAGCACTTGCCTCGCATGCCTGAGGCCCTGGGTTCGATTCCTTGGCACCACATAAGCAAAAAGAAGAAAAGCTGGAAGTGGCACTGTGGCTCAAGTGGTAGAGCGCTAGCCTTGAGCTGAAGAGCTGAGGGACAGCGCCCAGGCCCAGAGTTCAGGCACCACGACCGGACCCCCCCACAAAAAAACTTGAAAACTACTTTAATTAAAAAGAAATTGTTTAAATAGGGATGCAGGTGGACCCACTGCAACAATGAGATGTACAAGACGTTATGTTGAAAAACGAACTTTACAACAAAGAAAGGATGGGAGGGGAGTGGGGGGGGGGAGGATGGAAAGGGATGGGAAGGGGAAACAAAGGAGGAGGCTACAATGCTTGATAAGAAATGTACTCATTATCTTGCCCATGTAATTGTAACCCCTCTGTACGGTATTTTCACAATAAAAAAAAACTCATGAAAAGAGACCATTAAATATAACAAAGTTCACTTAAAATGTAAATACCATGTATTTCCTTATTAGTATCAGGTAAATATCTAAACTACCTATCCAGAATTCTAGTCTCACAAAAAAAAAAAAAAAACCATGACCAGAGATGACCACAAAGAAGGTGTTCCCTATCATTATCCATTTTTAAGCCAATTGAGAGCCTTTGGATAAAAATCACATTCATTTTTCTTTTCCATTTGTGTCTGCAGCCTTGTAGACTACTATGCTTTTACTTTTATCTTTGGATTCTTGGTCATACATGGACAAAAATGGGGAAACCAGAAGCTATTAGTATGATCCAGAATTTCTTTTGAAGATCCCAACTGGACCTGGAATGAGGATACAAGGGATACACACTGCTGTCCCAGGCTTTTAGCTTCTAAATGGGAGGACTCGGGAGGAAGGAATGCCTTCAGGCTGGAGCAGACAAGCCACACTGTGCTCACCTCAAACCACTCCTCAAGTTTGTTTTTAACCCACCTGTAACAGCAACAAGGATAAAGGAGTGACCCTTTAATTGCAACTCACCAATTTTTAATCATCTAGACACTAAACAATGTAGAAATGCAGTACAGATGATTTAAGGCAAATCTTGTACAGGTAGGAATGCAGAAGTGGGGATGTTTTATCTGGATTGTGCGACAATTTTTTTCTCAGGAACTTACCACTGGAAAGGAATATTTATTTTTCATGTAGGTCACTATATATGTATATTGCAATATTTGCAATATTTTATGGTATTCTATGATTACAGAGGTTATCAAGAAATTCAAAAGGAAAAAAATGGAAAATATTTAACTACTTCTCAGGGTTTTAAACTAAATAAGTACAACTCTGAAGTTACTTTAGCTAGAAATATATAAACATTTAATTAAAATTCTTGATAGGAATGATTCACAATCTCAGGCACAGATTTAACAGCAACAACAGATGCATTGATCTAATGTCACCTATGTCCAGAAAAACAAAGTGCCTAAGAGAGGAAGTGGTGTTATGGTTGAATCTATAAATTCCATGTGGGAATCTATAATTCCCATAGTAATGGGAATACACAAACAGCTTTGATGTATTGTTTTCCACTCAGCTCACTGAGGTTGGGTAATATCCTGTATTTAAAAGTCTGGCATTGTAATTCTAGTGGTTTTATGCAAGTTTTTCTTTTAATATAACTACTTGTTTTAGTCTTGCATGTATATATATGCATATACCTATGCATATATGGAAGCTATTTATGTATTCCCATTACTGTGCTTTGACTCAACCCATACTTTAAGAGAATGTTAGTTATACTGAGGTTAATATGGACACATCACCCAGCAGATAAATGATTAGGTAGTTCTAATACTGACTTACATAAATGCATTAGTTTTAGGAAAGGGTCTAGTCTACAATCAAGACTGCAGGTAGAGAACCATTTTATGTATGTCAGTATTAACAAATACAACCTATTATTTTGAATATACAGACTAATCTAACTAATGTACTGAAACCACACTGAATTTAAATGGATGTACATGAATAAGCTACCTCTCTTTATACACTTTTATTGTGACTTATCCTACTTAAAACTCAGTATTATTATTTCTGTGGGAACTGCTATGGAACATATCCTGGAATGTATAAAACACTGGTTATTCTCTGCCATATCCAACTGTAAAGAAAAAATAACCTTCTGTTGTAAAGTTGACCTAATTCTTATACTAACAAAATTTAGGTGATAAAAATTGAATGTCAAATATTAAAAATGTTTATGTGGCTGCAAGATTCTCTCACATAAGCAGCTCATATAAAAATTTTGTTTGCTTCTTAAGAAACAAAACATACTCCCTCTGAAAGGAATAAGAGGTATATTGTTATCACTTGAAAAATACAAGCCTTAATTGTCCTGCTTCACATTGTTGCTGTGCACAGTTAATGTCAATCACACTAAGCTCAGATGACTTCCACACATTGGTGCAATGCTAATTTGAAAATAATGTCCCTTGCAAACACTACCACCTAGACTCTAAGCTCCGGAAAACACCCTTACAGAAATAGATACTGAACCTGATGTTCTGGGCTGTAATTCAGGTACCTGTGATTTTATAGATGTTATCTTAATGAATTATATGTCTGTTAGTTTTGTTGGTTTTTTTTTTTTAAATCCTTTTCCAATTAAAGAAATTTGCTTTGGCTGTCATGGTGGATGAACGACAGTCTTCTCTGGGATATCAGCTCCCTTTCATGTATGACTTTAGACCTGCTGCAGAAAGTGATGGAAAACTTGGGAATTCATACTTTCTTTTCGCATTCTGGACAGCCACCGGGTCCTGCAGGTACTGTTCCCAGGGCAGTTTCCCACACAACCACTGCAGCATGCAGTAGCCCAGGATTTCAACATCACTTCTTCTGGACAGGGCTGTAGGAAAAAGCGTGAAGAGAGAAAGAGGGCATAAGCAAGTTCTCGAGAAATAGAGAAATGAACTACCACTGACAAAATCTGAAAAAGCCCAAATGGGCAAAGCGTTTTGTTTGTTCAGCTGGAGTAAAACTTAAAGGCCCTGGTGTTTGGCCTGCGTCCACAGACAGGCAATGACTTGTTGCTGCTGAAAGGAAGGGTCAGTTTCCTCACCTCCTCCAACTTCATCTTTCCTTAGTCTGGCCTGTCATATGAACTTGATCCCCATGGCCTCTGACATGATCCAGACAACCCATAACCGGCACCAACACTTTCTCAAAGAGCCAAGCAGTAAAACAAAGAAATAAATGTCTGCAGCTAAATTGCTAACACATGTTCCAGGAAGTCCATGGGGTCTGCATTGGTCATGCAGAGACCCTCTGAGCGCAGACTAAACATTGATGGCCTTTCCTGCTCCATTTGCACTAGTGGCAACATAGGCAGTGGAAAGAATATGACAAAACTGCCATCTAGTGTGCAGTCTAAAAACAGGTCTGTCTGAAGAGTTTCCAATTACATGAGAGCAAAAGAAAACATGTTCACAGCTTTAGATACACAGTTATAAAGGTTACCAAAGTTATCTTTAGCACCAACTAACAATTCAACTCACACATCAGAAAATACAAAAGTATTGGTATGGGGTACAGACAGGATGGTGTTCAATTATAGAGCTAAGCAGAGTATTTCAATTTTTAATATAATATGGCTTGTCAAAACACACACTATAAGACTATTTTCAGACTCCTGTAAATCTCATTTACGTCAAACTATTAAATGCTGTGGACTAATTTCATCATAATTTTAAATGCTCTATCAAAAAGCCATATCAAAAGATGGACAGTGAAACTTAAGAAACGTGTCACAATACTTACGTACAAGTCATTCAAATAATAATTAAAACACCAGCAAATACCCATAAAATAAACTCATTTTTATAACCATTCCAAGTGGCTAGAAAAATAACAAGCCAGTATTCATATCTTCTACTACTTGAACATTCATCTACACCTAGGAGCAATATGTGCTCATTAAGGCTGCTGTAAACGAGTCCCCTATTTTATTATGTTTCATTAAATACACTCTGAAAAAAAGTCACTCAGTGAACTTAAGTCTTGAATTTAAAAAGTCATTCACTAAGAGCAATGTGCCAAAACATTGCAACTGCTTTGAGTTACCACGCATAAGTTATTATAAAGGCAGAAGACAAGATTAGCTCTTACACATACTCTATCTTAACTGCTATTAGAGTATTGGATTATTAAAGGCCCTTCAATGCAGTAGAATGCTGCAGTCCCATGGGTGCCGTTTACTTTCTGCATAGTCCTAATGCAAGACTTGGCTCTCATATTAAAATGAAAACAAAGTCTCTACCATGCTGCTCTGTAGTGATTTCTTCAGTAATAAATCTCCCATTAATAATGGAATGGTTCCATTCGTACAGATGTGCTCACAAGTCTCTTTTCCATTATGGCAATTCCTGATTACCACCACTTAAAAAATTCACATCCTTTAAATTTTCAAAAACTGATATTCTAGCACCTGTTTGGATGACAGAGGCTACACATAAGTGGCCCTTGGAGGAAAAACAATAAGAATTAAAATGGAACGAACCTTCCCAGCCACTTTCCTCCCTCCCCCCAACTGAGGGATTAATTGATATGAAGCTGTAAGTAATGACAAGTCATTTATATTTCTGAAACCAATCTTTCATAAACTGGTCTTCATTTAAAATAGTCCTTGGAGAGTTCACTTCACTTCACTATTATAGTTTGGTCTCATCTAATTAAAATATGTGACTTTTTTCATTTTTTTCACTTATTTTACTGTAGGTATACACTAACTATGGTTAAGCAACCATTCCACTAAGTCTTAGAGAAATACTTCTAGTATTATAAAGAATATCTAGTAGTCACCCTTTGCTATGATTATTAAGATAAAAACTATTAAAAATGGTCTGAGTACATATCTCTCCTCAAAATTCCCTCACAGAGAAACAAGCGGAAAAGTTTTAATTGTTTTAGGGAAGTTCAAAATCTCTGACTGTATAAATAATTATGTCTACTGTCTACTCAGAAAAGAGTAGTTCAATGCCTGTTGAACCACTTAAAAACCAGTATACAGGAGGGAAAATACAAAAGAAAAAAAGAAATCATGTAGTACACTGAGAACAATAACAAAGAAAAAAACCTCTTATGTCCATATCTTAGAGTTCATTTTCCTTGGCATCATTTTATACAGTGATATATACAAAGCTACTGAGCTATTATGCTCATCTGATAAGATTATTCTTATTACAAATAAGGGAGACCATGCTACCTATGTTTCTTTTGGTCTGGCCTATATCACTTAATATTATTTTTTCCAAGTCCTTCCATTTCCTTAGAAATGGGGCTGTGCCATTCTTTCTGATGGAAGCATAGAATTCCAATACACACACACACACACACACACACACACACACACACACACACACACACACCACATTTTCTTGATCCATTCATCTACTGAGGGGCGTCTTAGCTATGGTAAATAATGCTGAGATAAACATGGTTGTGCTGGTAGCTTTAGTGTGGCCTTGATTGTGGTCATTTGGGTAAATCCCAGAAGTGGGATTGCTGGGTCATAGGGAAGCTCTATGTGGAGTCTTTTGAGGAACCTCCATACTGATTTCCAAAGTGGTTGAACAAGTTTACACTCCCACCAACAATGCAGTAGGGTTCCCTTTTGGCCACATCCCTTTCAGCATCTGTTGTTAGATTTCTTAATTATATCCTAACTGGAGTGAGGTGGAATTTTAATGTTGTTTTGATTCACATTTCTTTTATGACCAGAGATGTTGAACCTTTCTTCATGTTTCTATTGGCCATTCTTATTTCTTCTTCAGAGAAGTCTCTCTTTAAGTTTTAGCCCATTTATTAATGGGGTAGTTGTTTGAGGATTTGTTTTGGGGGGATTTAATTTTTTGTGTTTGAATATATTTTAGATATAAGGCCTTTGTCTGTTGTATGGCTAGTGAAGATCTTTTTCCAATCTGTGGGCTTTCTACTGATCTTACTAGCCATGTCCTTTGCCATGCAGAAGCTCTGCAGTTTAATGCAATCCCATTTGTCCAACCTTTTCTTGATTTGTTGTGTTTCTATTGTTACTGTATTTAATTTTGGTACCCTGAGTATTGTGTATATATATATATATATATATATATTGTATTTATATTTATTTAGCGTAGGGGAGGGGAAAAACAAAATGGTGAGACAAAGGACAAAGGGAGAACCTATGCAACTGCAACAGTCACAAGACACTATGCTGGTGATGATCTGTATAGTTTGGTTGGAGGGGATTAGGGAGGAGGAAAAAAGGGAGAAAAAATGAGGGACAGGGTAACAAGATACACAAGAAACATAATCACTCCTTTACTTAAGTAACTGTAACCCCTCTGTATATCACCTTGACAATACAATTAAAATAAGAAATAAAAGAGTATTCTAGGTGACAATGTTAGAATCTATGTATCATTTACATTCAGAATTGATCAACGAACAGAACTACTGAGGTCTGTCTTTATTGTTACTGTTTTAAATGTACCATGTGATTTTATTTGTTGTTATTGTTGCTTCCTTTGTATGTTCTTTCCCTTATGGCATACCCCCTGTTGTCAATGTATTTGATTTTGATACCCTCCATTTTGTATATACATATGTCTAATCTGGGGAGGGGAAGGGGAATAACAAAAGGCTGAAACAAGGACACAGGCTGATCCATTGCAACAAGGATACCACAGGACAGTATACTGGAAATGAACTTTACAACTTTGGGCAGGGGGTGAGGGAGGAAGGGATAGTGGGACAACAAGGGGGGAAGGGTTAACAATAATCCACAAATTACTCATTGCCTTATTTATGTAACTGTAACCTCTCTGTACAGCATCTTAACAATAAAATTAAAAAAAGAATCTAGAGGTGCAGTTCAGTGATAGACTGCTTACCCTAGATTCAATTTCTGAACCACAAAAGAATAAAATAATAAAAAATGCAAAACATTTAATTTGCAAGTTGCTTCTTATATAATTTTCAAACTCATTTTAAAATATGTTAAGTGAAGCAGTATACAAATGAGCCCAGTACTAGGAACCCATAGAGTAGTAATCAAATTCTAGCCTTATCATAATTATATACTTTAGCTCTAAAATTCAGTGATAGTATGTTATATTTTTCTTTTAATTTATTTGCATCCATTAGGATAGAAAATGTATCATGGATTGTTTTCTCTCTGAAGTCATATATTTGCATGTTTAGTGTAATTTGGTAATTAATATGGTCATTAATAAGTTTACCTATTGATATAAAAATTTTTACTGTTATCATTGTTTGAAAATGTAGCAAGTGTTATTAATAATTTTTTTCCTTGATACTTCCTCAAGTTCATTTCCAAATATTATTTAGCATCTAATTTTATTAGACTTACTAAATGGAGCAAATTGCTCTTTTCATTTAGTATGTGGTGTTCAACATTTCAAAATAACAAAGTGTTGTCAAGTGTAACCATAATTGAAACAATAGATACAGGGGACATAAATTCTACTTGAATAAAAAAGCAGATCCTAGAAATAGGTGATGCTAGAATGCATCATTAAGAACAATTGAAATAGTAGGGGAAAACAAAAGAGAGGGTAACAATGCTCGATAGGAAATGTACTCACTGCCTTGCTCGTGTAACTGTCACCCCTCTGCACAGTATCTTTACAATAAAAATATTTTAAAAATGGATATGATTTATAGAAAGGTGCTATTGTGCCAAGCACTCTATCTACTATTAAAACAGTGTAAGGTAAATACTACTAAAAATACTGACAAATAAGAAAACAGGCTTGGAAAAGTAAAATAACTCATTCAAAAATCACAGAGAAAACAACTGACACACCTCAACATGGAAGTTCAAGTATTTCAGAATCCAAAGTTAATGAGCATTAACTATGCACGTACTTATTAGTTCTAGGTTTTGTTTTGTTTTGGGGTGAAGGACTGAACTCAGGACCTCAAATTCCCTATCACTAAGCTGCACTGTTCACGTTAATTTTTACATCATTCAAACAATAGTTTATTTTATACATATACTTTCATAGCTAAGTATCTATCTAAAGCAAACATTTTTAACTTAAAATACTGTGAGACACATAACACAAAGGTACTTTGTCCACGCTGCCACCTCCTCCCATTGCTGTAAGGTTCTCACCCTGGGCTCAGAGTCAATGAAGCCAACAACTCTGGACTGAAACCTATGAAACCACTGGCTACAATAAATCCTTCCTCCCTTAAGTTTTGTTTTTTAATGTCAAGTATTGTGTCACAGCAATGCAAAGTCTCACTGACACACCATCAATAACTACAATTTCAAAAATGTTATTAGAAAAAGGTAGAATGGAATTTTTCATGTCTCAAATAAAACATTAAGCCCAGATCTCTCGTTTTTCCGGTACCGCTTGTATTCTAAGTCCTAGGATTGATTTTTTTGTACTTTTGTTTAGTTTGTGAAACTTTACTATGTGGAGATTTGAAAGTTATGCATCACAGTAAAGATTCCTTACATTTCCTATGGTATATTCTTAACAAAATAGTTCAACTGAAAAGCCAAAGCATAAATCAATCTTTTAAAAGCCATGTTTTTCACTATCATTTATAAATTAACCAAGGACTTTATAATAGTAGTCAAATTTATCTAAAAGAAGAAATTAAGTCTATTTTTAACTACTAGTGAAATATGGGATATATTAATATTTGATAATTTACCTTAACATTGTACAATAGGTAAATGAGGTCCATTTTTAAAAATTATTGTTTTAGAATATAAATATAGTGCAATCAATGTCGTTTTCCAAGTTTGGGAACAGAAACACATTTTCAGTTTCACATATATTTTGTAAGTTGGAATGCTAAAGTGAAATGAAATCATGCAAGAAATAACACAAGACTTGGATTTCATATACTGTAGCAATTGGCAAAAATAAAAACTATGTAATATATTTCTTTCCTTGACATTGAATATATTACATAAACAAATGGACAATTAAAATGCAATTTAACTATCATATATTATGGTCATCAATGATGTCAAATTAAAACAGGTATTATATACTCAATGTCCAGGTCTGAACTATTTAAGAAAGCTCAATATGTTAAATGCAGTATATCTCTAGAGAAATTAGATATTGACTGCACGCCTCAGTGAGTAGAAAAATCTACAAAAATCCATACCACACATTGATCCAAATATTGCTTCCTAACATTACTAAGAATGTAACAAATTTTAAAATAGTGTATTTGACACAGATATAATTCTCCTTAATTATCAGGCAATAAGAACAAAATATGTCAATGTTTATTTATGCTACTTTTATGAGCAGTAAAAATTAATAATGGAAGAAATAAGCCTAACATACATTACTCGAATTTTATACTAAATGAGGCAATTTGGCCACTTAGAAAATACCTGTAGATTACACAAGAGAATTGAGTTTGGAATAATAACTGCAATGTTTAAAAAGCATATAGATGCCTAGATGATAATACTTCCATTCATCCATTTGTTTAAAGCCACCTCTAGATATTTTTCTACTTATAATTTTGGTTCATAATAAAATAAGCTAGTACCTAACATGGTATTTTCTTTCCCTCTCAGCTACCCTCACTTTACATGAAATTGAATTAGAAAATCTTAGGTGAGAGGGCTGAGTGAAACCCCATACAAACTCCTTCTGTATATATATAAAAATCCATAGAAAAATGAGCAGTACCTTCAGTTTCTGAGTAACTACCACAAAAATCACTAGCAGAAAGCAGTCGGTCTTCTCAGGTTAGCGGTCTCTACTGAGTGGCTAGCTCCTAAGACAGTTTCACTTTAAAGCCTGAAGATGTTCCCTGACATACCTGACACAGAGCAAATGTTTTGGCATCTAGAAGTTCTATTTCACATTGAAGATTCTTTTCCTTTTTGCTCTTTATGCTTTTTTATACTATCTTTCCTTAGTATTTGATCTCAAAACTGGACTGGTATAGAAAAATATTTTTCTGAGTTTCAACTACTTAGAGACTACAACAAAAGTAAACAGAAATGTGTATGCATCTGACCTTCTACACTTACTTATAGGATTCATAACCCTGTTGTTTGTTAGGTATGGCTAAAGGGTATGTTTTATTTTAGAAATTTGTACAAAAGATAGTAGGAATGAACTATTCAAACATTTAGGAATATTAAAATTTCCACTTAGGTATATCAAAATTTCTACTTAGTGTATACTAGACTAAAGCTGCATATTAAAATTTCAGTAAATACATATGTACATTTTTAATATGCATGTATGTGAATATATATACATTTTACATACAGATACACCAAGAAATTTCCAATAAATCATTTTAAATGCATTAAATTGTGCTATTTATGGAGATCCTGAATTCCCTCTGATATAAGTAAATATCTCAAGGTAAAATTTACCAGCAAATACCAAAAGATTTAATGTAAGCTCTTTGCTGAATAATATTTCTAGTATATAATATAATGACCATTTTAAGTTAAATCTTCTTTGAAAGACCTAGAGTGGTGAAAAATACTTGCAATATCAACAAGTAGGGCTGGGAAGGTGGCTCAGTGGTAGAGCGCTTGCCTTGCATGCATGAGGCCCTGGGTTCGATTCCTCAGCACCACATAAGCAAAAAGAAAAAAGCTGGAAGTGGCGCTGTGGCTCAAGTGGTAGAGTGCTAGCCTTGAGCTCAATTGCTGAGGGACAGCGCCCAGGCCCAGAGTTCATGCCCCACGACCGGAGCTCCCCCCCGCCAAAAAAAAAAATCAACAAGTATTATGATTTAAGGGAGAAAAAAAGTTTAAATACTCTGCAAAATAAAAATTTCTACAAAACTTCCATAATGATAACATAATGAAAACATCACCTTGAAACTACATAATTACAGAATACATAATTGCAGAATTGTCACTGTCCAGACTTTGGCCAGAATAACACATAATACCTCTACTTCTACAGTTACAATGCTTTCGTAGCTAGCTTAGTCCTCAAACCAGACTATATCAGGATTAGAGTGCTAGTTCAAGTAAGTGGCCCAACTGTAAGTTAGTATCACTAATTGGACAAGTGTTTAAGAATCTGTATGATGAGGGTTCTGTTATGCCAGTTGGTAAAAAGTACTTTCAGGTTTCTGAAAAATATTAGATATCATCAAAAAAAAGCTTGGAAAAAGTGAAGAATGAAAATCATTGGGAGAAAAAGACATTAATAAAGAACACTATCAGCGAGTACTTCTAGAGTCTAAAATAGCATTTTCTTAATCAGAGCCAAACTTCAACTCTGTCTTTAACTGTTTGCTGATTTATTAACAACATAAATGGTGAAAAACTACACAATACCACTATATTTTTGAGTGACCATTACTTTTCTAACAAAACTATACTTGACAAAAGCATAGTGATTTGTTTTACTGTGTTCTCAAGTATAAAAGCTAATAGCTGTTTTAGAGACTGTGACCTAAGATTCTTCTTCACAGGAAGAATGTATACAACTGACAAACTTGTTTCACTATTTCATGGCCTACCTTAAACTAGTGTAGGTTTTAATTGCTCTGTAAAATGATCAAGACCTTCTACATTACATGGCCAATGGTGCTTTTAATAGAAAAGGCAATAATATACAGTTGTTTGGGCCACTAAAGCTGGAAAATAGCAGTTTAGGTTAACAGTTCAAAAACGATTAACAAGTACAAGTGAGTAATTGTCTTTTTGTGAAGACGTGGTCTTTTCAAAGCTGTTTATAAATTATTTGTTGGGTTTAGCATATTTGAAAATATTTTTATAAACATAGTTTATAAATAATATAATTTTGAGAACCAAAGTTTTATAATAACACCATTTTTTTCAATAGCATAACATTAGAATTGACTTTTTGTCTTGCTGACAGAGCAACTAAGAAAGTACAGTTGCATTGACCATATTGATTGTGAACAAAGCAACCGTCAGTGGGACTCAGCACCATATATTTTCAATATTGACCTCCTACTTCCTTTTCCATGGCTTTCTGGGTCGGCTATTGGATTTAGACTGCAGAGTAATAAACAGCTAAGGTTTAATTAATGGTAAATGAATACAAGACATAGGTTATGACTTTAACTAATTAGGGAATTGTTGAATTAAGTCTGCCTTGGAATGCAAGGCAGTACAATCAATATCCAATAAAAGGACTATGTATGTAATTTACCTGCAAATGTGTTTCCAATACCATCAAAGTGAGTTTAAATAAGTAAGATATATGAAAGGTGACTAGAAGAGATTTCCACAAGTTAACACTTTACAGTGTCAGAAGAGATAGTCTCATTGTGGAGGATGGTACTATCTAAAGCTCTGATCTGTGTACAACAAAAATAGAAACAATTGATAATATGTGCAGCTTCACCAAATCTGTGATACACACTCCAGCATAAAAACTCAGCACTGACCTCCAAGTTTAATATATTCAAACTAGCAATTTTCTAGGTAAAATGAACATCTAGTTTTGTTTACCTGACACCATTTTGCTCCTCCCTCAGTTGCCACAGTCTCCAACCACTGGAGAATATTCATTGGTATACATTGGTATAGCAGGAATTCACCACTTTTCATAAAAAGCTCAACAGTGCACTCACTCTTCAAGCTGACTATGCAAAGGTCACTCCACACAGCTCTAATCTCTTGACTCTAATCATTTTCTGAAATAAAAGAAAAAGAGAAAAGAATCTTACCTACTCCCTTGTGGGCATCCAAACTGGTAAACTCTATTGTCCCATTATGGCCTTTTCTTGGGTTTTCTTGATACTGTTTGTGGTTCCCATTGGGACAATACCTGTAGGAAAGTCCATAATCTGCAAGATAAACCTGGAAAGACATGAACAGGCAAATAAGTAATGCCTTTGTCCTCTGAAACTATAACCTTCATAATTAAGTCTTAAGAAACTGGTGATTTAAGTATAGCCATGGAGCTATATTTTATTAAGCCAAATGGTGCTTTATGATAAAAGATATACAACTGGGGGCCATAACACTAACTTTCCAACCTAATCCTTACATTATCATAGGCATATCTTATTTCTTAGTTTTTTATTTTTAATTTTGCTTCTAATTTCCCTTCCCTCCAGGTGGGCATCTAGATATCATAAACCACAATATGTCTTTTTAGATCTATATTCACAAAGCTCATGAGGCTCTCCGTTTTCTTGTAACCCTTCCTTCTGAAATATTAAACTGTTATAAGCAGGGAAGGAAGATGAGAACAAACATTTTAAAAAAACCTAAGCCTAATGTCTATGTTCCCATTAATAGGAAGTATAAGAAATAGAGAACAAACTAAGAGATAATCATTTTTAAAAATTCACAAATGAGTGAACATCATTCTGTTGTCTGTATTTAAAAATAGAACATCAAAGCAGGATATCTGGACTTTTAGATACATCTGTATCAACATGGTAATATTTGCCAGTCAGAACTGCAGTGTTTTTTGTTTTTTTTTTTTGTCAGTCGTGGGGCTTGAACTCTGGGCCTGAGCGCTGTCCCTCAGCTCTTCAGCTCAAGGCAAGTGCTCCACCGCTTAAGCCACAGCGCCACTTTCACAGACTTTCCTGACCGGGCTGGCTTTGAACTGCAATCCTCAGATCTCAGCCTCCTGAGTAGCTAGGATTACAGGTGTGAGCCACTGGCACCGGGCAGAACTGCAGTCTTAAAACAGAAATTAGTGTTAAAAGTTAGACAGTAATTCCAAGGAGCTAGAAGGGGAGAGGTGGTTTACTTTGTAGTTATACATATATTGAATAGACAACTGTTTTGACTAGACTTTGTGTGATATGGTGATGGAAAAGAGTACTTTAGTTCCCAAACACACATTGCTATGCCCCCCTTTGCCAAGCAAAAGAAAGTAGTTTAAAACTTTTAACATGTTTCATATACATATATGTAAAATTTAGGGATTTGGACAGTGTAGCTCTAAGACACAATGTAAGCCTACAGTTAACATGTAAAGTCTATTTAAAATAACTTCAGTATTCAGTTACTCATTTCTTTAAATTTTGGGGTTTTTTTGTTTTGTTTCATTTTTTTGTCAGTGGTGGGGCTTGAACTCTGGGCTTGGGCACTGTCCTTGTGCTCTTCAGCTCAAGGCAAGCGCTCTACCGCTTGAGCCACTGCGCCACTTCCAAAATTCTGGGTTTTAAGGTAATCCAAGTAGTAGGTAGTTAGATCTTAAAAATATAAAAAGCACAGAATTTTTCTCTTTTTTGGAAAACGTAACTTACTGGACTGTCTGAAAATCTATTTCAATTTCTTTCTCTCTTCCCCACTCACAGTTTCTCAATGTGGACTCAGAAGTAATTGATTTGTCTCAAATAACTAGACACTTCAGGATAAGACACTTGCTTTTGCTATGTCTGATGCATTTTTGTTTTAATTTCACAAACCTTAGTTCATTTTGCAAAGTAATTATTTGGAAAGGTACATATGAATAACATAAACTAAGAATCAAATTTTAATAAACAGATCCAATTGCCATTAAAAAGAAGCTTTTTTTGTAGTCTTTAGAAGAAGCTTTTCGTAGTCTCACTACCTCAAAACATAAGACCCAGCTTTTAAGGAGTGATGCTATGTACACATGGTATATTAATGCTTGACATTCTTTGACCTAAGACCTACTAACTGAAATCTGATCATTTTTCTGTATTTTATTGACTTGGAAACTGAAATTTAAGGAGGTCGGTTGAAAATTAATTTCCATACTATAAAGTCAGGATTATATGATAGTTCTAACTTTAAAAGCTTCATAGTCAATTTCAAGAAAAGTTAAACTGATTAATGAGAGTCTAGTGAAGATTACACAAAAATAGGGGAAAAAATGGCAGGAGTTGTTTCCTGTCCTGGGGTTGAGCTAGAGAAAGTACTAGAAAAGCGTAGGGGATGATGGTCAATGTGATTGTGCCATTTGTGTTTCCTAAGTAGTACTTACTCTTATCTTCTACATAGATGACAGTCTCGCACAGTGCAACTCCTAGGTCCTTAATAAAAGCCTGTATTTTAGAATTGGTAAGAGATGTAGAAAACCTTACATCTCAAAGGAATTGGGAAAGGATCCACAACTTCAATTTTTCTTGAATAAATACTCTAAGAAAAAGAAAGTTAGGGAACTTAAACATTAGTTGAACTCAAGGGAACCTTAAGACTGTGTTAGTCATCACTGTGATTCAGGTCTCTGGGCTTATGAGGCTATTCAAAATTGGTAGGATACTGCAAAGTTTAAATTCAATATAAAGACAAGAAGATAATAATACAATGAAGAAGACATATAGGAACCACATTTTAATCAATGAATATTTCAAATCTAAAAATGACTTAAAATATGCATGGGTACAGCCTTAAGGGACATGTATTATATGGAAGAAACTTCTAAAGTATCAACACTATCAAACCAGAAATGTTCTTTATAGTATTAATAGGGAGTTACAGGAAAAATTCAAATCACGAAAGAGACTATTTAAAGACTCATTTAGCAAAATAGAAAACATGTCCCTGTTTGGATTTTTATTTACTAGTTTAACATATGGTTTTATACATAATTATATATATACACACTTATATATATATACACATGCATTCTATGTAGTATGTGCATATATGATATGTATATATAGAGAGATTTTATGAGGAATGAATTACAATATATATGAATCTTTTTAGAAATATATATTATGAGGCAGTGACTCACAATTAGGCTTGACTATTTTTGGTGAGGCCTGATATAAGAAAAAGCAACATCAATATTGACTACTTTGACTCATATTAAATCAAACTAAAAGTTCTACTAAGATAACTTGGTAGTCAGTCTAGAATTTTGCTAGAATGATTGGAAGGAAGGAGAGGGAAAATGCCTGGGAAATGTCAAACTAGAAAAGAGAAAAAAACGCTTCTGAAAGTAACATCTGTAAAGGTTCTACTAGAAGAAAATATAAACTGGGAAAAGTGTCTTTCAGGAATTATTTCCTTAGATTTATACAGCTATATCCAGCTAGGGGGCATTGCTCTCATTGTAGGAGATAAGCAACTTGCCCAAGTCACATAGCTAGTAAAGAGCATAAGCACAATTCCAATCTAAGCAGTAGGACTCAAGTTCCATATTCATATGCATTCACTCATTCATTCTTTTTCCTTGGGGTATGCTAAAGTAAAAAACAAGCTCAAAACAATACAATCTACAGTTGGAGTTATAGTTTAGGTCTTAGTTTTTGCATCTTTTAAAAGTAAGTAATTTCAATAGGACTGAAAACAAAATGAATCAGGGAAGGTGGGAGGGAAGGAAGGAAGGATGGGGGAAAAGGAAAAAAGGAAGGGAAGGGAAGGAGATAAAGGAAGACCTCAAAGTAGCTCATAAACCTCATAGAAGCCTAAAATATTCACCAGCTAGCTCTTTACAGAACAATTTTGTGAACCTCTCACCTACAGTGAAATTGGGATTTAGTTGACTTTTATATTGCACCCTTTTCCCAATGAGAAAAAAATAACATGTAGTTAATAATTTTCACCTTAAGTATCCCTGGTTTTAGACAAGCTTGTCATGGGACCTCAAGATTTATACCAGGACTGGGTAGGGGGGCATTATTTGCATTGTAATAAGCCTAGCCATAGGAATATTTTAAAAGCTAGCTCCTTAATGCATTTTAAATAATCTTTACAGATTTGTTTCCAAATTCGGTAACCTTTTCCTTTCCCCATGGGTATAAGACACAACCCTACCTAATTCTCTGCCTTTTAATCCTAGCGATCTGTAGACTTTTTTAACTGTAATTTTTTTTGTCTTTTTTTTTTTTTTTTTGTATTGGGGATCTAACCCAGGACATGTACTTGCTAGGCAAGTTTTGCCACTGAGCTACATCCCAGCCCATGCACTTTATTAACTGTCATACTACCACATCATAACACCTATTAATTTTTTACTTCTATGAAGTACAGAAGGAAATGTTCTTTTTTACTTTCTAATTCTGTAGCCATTGAGGCGCAGTCCCACCTAGACAGACCTACCTTTCATTTGTAAGGAATGCAACAGGATGCAAAGGCCGAGCAGCAGATCCCTCGGACATGCCACATAATGTACAAGCGATAGCCACACTACTTTCTGGATAGTTTTCAACAGTGTCTAATCATGAGGACCGAGTATGAGTGTGGCCATCTCTACTCTATTGGTGTCTCTCCTGGTAGGTAATATGCTGTGAAGTCCTTAATAGGTTGGTTGGGAGAGCTATATCTGTAGCAGAGTTTGGGGTCCTCCTTGCTCAATTCTGCTTCTTGCTCTGCCACAGTGTCAGTGCTACTACTCAACCCAGATTACGACCCTTTCATTGTTCATAGGCATTACCCTCCAACAAAGCTCTTGTACATCTGATTCTGTCTCAGCATTTACCTCCCTGAGAACCTCATTGGTAAAGCAGGTCAATAAATCATAGCTCCAATAAATGAAATGAAGCAACACACACACACACAATCTTGTCAACATATTGAACAAGCCCAGCTCAAAACTCAACTTTTTCCTTTGGACCCACACGTTTTCTCATTCACCAGTTCTATATTCACTTAACATCTTATTTCTTGTCTCTGCTAGCTTGTCCTTATAAGCTCTTCCATTTCACATATAACTGAGGTGCTTTTTTCTACATCCTTCATACTTTTTGAGTTCACTCCCATGCTTTTTTATTTCATCACTCATACTTGAAACTCATTCTGGAACACAGCTTTACTTAAAATGTAGCTTTCTTTCTCTCTCTCTTTTTCTTTTTTGGTGCCAATCCTGGGCTTGAACTCAGGGCCTGGGCATTGTCCTTGAATTCTTTTCCTCAAGACTAGAC